CATACACAAATTTTCACTTGTCCTATATGGCAAGATAAACGTTGCTATTTAAGCCAAGATCGCATGTTCTGCCTATTCGGCACGACATATATATATATATATATATAATATATATATATATATATATATATATATATATATATTATATATATATATTATATATATATATATATATATAATTATGATTAATAATATATATTCTTATCACCATCGTCATCATTATCATGGTAATCATCGTTATTATTATAATTATAATATTCATCATTATTGTTTCAGTACTGTTATTAGTCTAGTATTATCACTAGTATTATGACTACTATTATTGATATTATTAGCACTACTAGTATACTACTACTGCTGCTATTGCTATTATTACTTTTATAAAAATTACTACAACTATTAACAATGGGTGTGTTTTGTTTACTGCACGATCTATCAGAGGTATCCCCGTACAGCATAACCCCAGCCCATTGTACGTCAGTGCAGGGGAAAGGAGTAGTGCCGAGTGGGCAATAAGTTAAATATTAACACTGAAGATTTGAAGAGGTATTCACATATTATCACATGGAAACTAATATCTTTTTTTTCAAAAAATGGCAAATTACGATATACACTGCCCGAAACTAATTTAAAGCCTACCAGCTTTGAAGCGAAACTGAAGAGGAATTCTTTTGTTATATCAGAGAGACTGATATCCTAAAGTACACCAGCACGTTAAGTATAAGGCCGCTCACAAGTTTCATTATCGAGTTATAAACGCTGATTGGTGAAGAAAACTGGATGTCACGCTTGGATATTATTGCGTGAAAAACAGTATTTCAATTTTTCCAGCTTTTGTTAAAAAAATAAGGCAGTTAAGAAAAAAATGCACAATACCGTGACGTGGTGTTAGGCTCGTGTCTCCTATGTGCGGGTTATTTATGTAAGGAAATTAAAGAGCAACACAGGCCAAAATCAGTAGTGTTTAATGTTTATGTAATTATGGATGTCAATAATTTAAGCTTTGTATACATAATATAATTTTTTGCAGTGGTCTTGAGGGGACGTAGATGTTATGTGAGCATAATAGTACATTAAGAAGATATAACCATTATAACTGAATAAGGTGAAACATTGTGACCTTGCTGCCCAGAAGAAACATTTCCGTTATTTTACAGAAAACAATTTGATTAATAAAATTGGCACAGTAATGCTCAGTAATAACTCACATGAGGAAAGAAACTCAGAAGGATAATTGAATTGTATATTTCGATCTCCTTTCTGGGATCCTCTTCAGCAGGTAAATAAGTAAAAGGAGAACATAAATACATAGAGAAGGCTGTACTTCACCTCGTACAAGGAAGTGTCACGTGGGGGACGTGTCTAGCAATGGATGGACGAGAAGACATATCCTGAAGTGAAGTTAAAAATTTAAGTAGGACGTTCCTTTGTGCTTTGTGATTCATGATCTAGTGTTGACACTCTGTATTAGGTTCGGCGCTGGTATGTACGTCTTTTGTACGAATTTTGAAATGACGTCTGCTTTCCATTGTCCCTGTGAGATGTTGAAAGTGGGGAGCGTTAACCCTCATAGCTACTCACAGCCACCACTTCCAATTTCAACATCTCACAGCGACAGTGGAACCCAGACGTCATGTCAGGTTCTGTCTTCTCTCCCACACATTACTGGACGTCCTCCCACGTGCCACTCTCTTGTAAGGGGGTGAGGTGTGACCTTTCCTATATATTTGTGTTTTCCTTTCACTTATGTATCTGCTGAAGAGGATCCCAGAAGGGGATCGAAATATACAGATCGATTAATCTTTTGAGTTTCTGTCTCCATGTGGGTTATTACTGAGCATTGTCAATGGTTCATTACACTTTATTTATCCATTGGCACATTAACATTTACACAACCTAAATTAAAACTAAGTGTTTTTGTCAAAACACTAAAAGTTTAAAGCCGACCAAGAGAAGCATTCTACAGCTATTTCAGAGACTCCAACAAAATTTGCAGGTACACAGCCTCGCACTCCCCCCCCCCGCCCGTCCCCCGTCACCCCCCCCCCATAATCAGCCATTAGATATTTATTTTAACCAGGCGAGAGCAATAAAACCAGTAGGGGTCAATTAGCACCTGTGACCTTCAGATTCGACTCACTGATGAGGAGGATGAATCCAGTTCCCTGGTTCAAGATTCCCTCACCAGCATCAAGATAAAATACTATTACCACTACTACTACTACTACTGCTACTACTACTGCTACTGCTACTGCTGCTGCTGCTGCTGCTGCTGCTGCTGCTGCTGCTGCTGCTGCTGCTGCTGCTGCTGCTGCTGCTGCTGCTGCTGCTGCTGCTGCTGCTGCTGCTAATAATAATAATAATAATTCTGCTACTGCTAACACTGTATCAATGTCTGTCAATCTTAATTAACCAGAGTGACGGCCGCCTTGCCTAGCTTGACGTGTCACTTAGGTCACAGCTGCCGCTCTTCTTCCTCCCAGTGGCTGCCATCATTGTAGGTCACGGTGGTTGGTATGTAATTAATGGTGTGTGCAAGATGGTGGATGGATGATACCCGTAGAGGGACAGAGAAAGACGGAGATAGAGAGTAAACAGTGTCTCTCGTGAGCTGATGGATGATGTAAACAACGACACTTCCTTCCTAGTGGTGACGTCACGTGGTCCTGCATGTCTTCCTGAGTTTTTGTAGGAATGTGAAACTCACGTTTTTGCCCACAGTGGGTGATAAGGCTCCATAGTCTCTGTATTCATATTACATGTGCATGTAAAGTATCGTTTTCACAAACCCCAGTTCGAATCTCCGAAAAAGTTTTGGTGGTTTGTTACAAATAGCCATTTCATATTCGAAGTTCATATGTATATGAATATCAACAGAATAATGGGCAGTGACTCAAACCGTTGCCCATGAATAGAGTAGGTCCACTGCTGCTACCACTCAACACAGAGCTTACAATACGATTTTACAGAGCCATCACTTCTGTAACATAGTTGTATCAGCAACACCAACTGACCCCTGCTGTCTTATACCACAGCCACAGAAGCTTTCCTGGTACATCTGTTCTCAGACCCCTCAAAGTCACATAGTCCAAGATAAGTCGTAATTAAGTAAAGATAAGCGTAATGAAGTCGAAGTAAGTCGTAATAAATTCAACGTAAGTCGTAATGAATTCAACGTAAGTCGTAATGAATTCAACGTAAGTCGTAATGAACTGTGGGAAGAGACAGTAAGGTTGGTGCCGCTGATACAACCAAGTCACAGAAATATCATATTATATACAATTCCGACAAGTTGAGAAGTAGAATACATGTGCAATGCCAGCACTCTTTACTGACGAAACGTTTCGCCTTCCCTGCAGGCTTCTTCAGTAGGATACAGAGATGAATTACACTCTTTCTAACATATGTTTATCATGACCTACTTGGCACTAGTGGATCAACTCACCTGTGACTTCACCTTCAGGCTGCTACACCTCACTTTCCAGTAAATAAGACTCGGGCCTCATACTTCAACTTTAGGTTGATATACTGATCATGTTGTACCAAGTTTAATATACTCATTGCATCGAACTACTTGCCCTTCTAGCCTACTTCGTCCTGGTGTCTCCAGGAGAGTAAAACATCTCTGTAGTCGACTGATGATGGTCTTCAACGCTGACAAAACGTTTCGTCAATGAAGATTCCTAGTGTTGTACATCTGTGTTCCTCATCAACGTGTCACAGAAGTAGATAGTTCTCAAGAGACAGCCTGGATGAGGTTGTAAATTCATCCTGTTGTAAACTCTGTGGGTGAATGGTAGCAGCGCTGGTCCTGCCATACGCCAGACCGCTGCTTATTCGTAGACAGTCGTTCATTGGGAGTTACCCCTGGGTTTATGGAGTGTATGTAAATGTACATGCAGCGTTAAACCCGTGTGGGTCATTCAGCTCAAGGACTGGTGAAAGCTCTTCTCATACGTGAAACATCATAGTGAAGTCTGTCGTTATGAGAGAAACATCAAGGTGAAGGTTGTCTGCACCTACTAACATCAGGGCCGTGATATCTAACATGCCATTACGTTAGTGATGACGTCAGTGACTGACGTGTGAGACGTCAGTCCTCCAGGACTTTTAATTTACTAATAGTGACAGAGAAACGTTGATTGTGACAGTTATGACGTACTACCATCAGCATTTCTGATGTAGCAAGTCCCACTCTTGCAACTTATACACTCCGGCTGGGATTCCCTGAATATTTCATAATATTTCATTTATATATATATATATATATATATTATTGACCAATTTTACCGATTCGGCACGACAAAATTATATATATATATAATTATATATATATATATATATATATATATATATATATTATATATATTCGGACGAATATATAAATATTATATATATATTATATATATATATAGTTATATATATATATATATATATATATATTATTATAAAGTATATATATAATGTCGTGACGAATAGGTAAAATTGGTCAATTAGCAAGAACTCATTTATACTTAAGTCCTTTCTAAAAAATTTCTATTATACGTGATTGAAAAGAAACATCTGTGATTGAAGAGAAAAGTCAAATTTGTTCCTATCTGTTAGAACTTGATCAAACCACAGCGGGTGTGACTTGGGCGAAACGTAGTCCCAGCAACAAAAAGGTCGTTTTTCAAACGTGTATCTTCACTCTCGTCGACATTACGAAACGTGCAGCTAACATTGTTAAAACTATTACTTTCTGCAGAAGACAAGAGAGGATCCAGAAGGAACAAGGATAACAGATGATGGTTACCCTTGGTATGAAGGCTGAAGAACAGGGGTAAGAAACAGGGAATTAGAACAGGAGTAAGGAATAGAGATAACAGGGTATTTTTAATACCTTTGGGACGGTGGCAGAGGGACCAGGGATGGACTGTGACCCTTGAACGGTAATAAGGAATAGGAATAATGGTACGGTGGTTGTGGAATAGGACTCAGGACTAGTGGATGGTACTTACTCTTGGTGTGGTGGTTGTTGTGGGCGAGAGAGGTGCGTCGTTCCCTGAGGTGAAGTTGTCGATGCGGAGAGTGAGTTCGGTGGGATAGTGCTGAGGGCCGCCGGGATAGGCCTGAGGACCCCCGGGATAGGCCATGCTAAGGCCGTTGCGCCCAGCCCGGCGACGCTCAGCCAAGCTGGTGATATCCTCTCCTCCGTCCATCCTCATCCTGAACCACCACCCCAGGATGCTCTAAGATGATCCAGGATGCTCTGAAATTACCCAGGATGCTCTGAGATGATCCTAGATGCTGTGAGATACTCCAAGATGTTGTAAGATGCTCCAGAATGTTCTGAAATTATACAGGATGCTCTAAGATGCTCCAGGATGCTTACAATGTTCCAGTATGCTCTAATATGACACTTTGATTGCTGCAGGATATTTTAATATAATCCATATTTCAAAATAATTCAGGACATTTTAAAAAGCTCCAAGATGCTCAAAAGTGCTCTATAAAAATCCGTATTGCTCTAAAGTGCTCCAGGAAGCTCTTAGATTCTTATGGGCTGCTCTTGAATGTTATACATTGCTCTTCAAATTGTGTACAAAGTCGTGAATGCTGTGATATCATTCACTATGATTCAGCATGCTGTGAAAGGGTTCACAGCACTGTACATGGGAGAGACAGATAACAAGAAGTCCACATCTAGGCTCTGTGCCCAGCTAGTTGAAGAATGATGCTCCAGGACTCTGTAGAATGCTGCAAGAGATTGAGAGGCGCCCTGCAGAGTGTTGTAGCAGCCCCGGATAGGCACACAACCTGCTCCAAAGTGAAAGATTGATTGGTTTGGAAGAGGAGGAACCTTGGTACGGGTGCTTTCAAAAGTGCATTGTACCTCCCAGTGTTGTCTAATATGGCCTAGTGTTTTCTAATGACCTTGTGTTTTCTAATATAATCTAGTGTTTTCAAATATAACCTAGTGTTTTCTAATGTTTTCTAATACGTCCGAGTGTTTTCTACTTCTAGTGTTTTCTAATATCTGGTGTTTTTAATATGTCCTAGAGTTTTCTAAAATGCCCTAGTCTTTTTTAATATGCCCTAGTGTTTTCTAATATGCCCTAGTGATTTCTAATATGCCCAAGTGTTTACTAATATGCCCTAGTGTTTTCTAATATGCCCAAGTGTTTTCTAATATGCCCAAGTGTTTACTAATATTCCCTAGTGTTTCAAAATGCCCTAGGTTTTCAATTACCTAGTGTTTACTAATATGCCCTAGTGTTTACTAATATAACCTAGTGTTTACTAATATAACCTAGTGTTTACTAATATGCTCTAGTGTTTACTAATATAACCTAGTGTTTACTAATATACCCTAGTGTTTACTAATATGCCCTAGTGTTTACTAATATGCCCTAGTGTTTACTAATATGCCCTAGTGTTTACTAATATGCCCTAGTGTTTACTAATATAACCTAGTGTTTACTAATATGCCCTAGTGTTTACTAATATGACCTAGTGTTTACTAATATGACCTAGTGTTTACTAATATGCACTAGTGTTTACTAATATGCCCTAGTCTTTACTAATATAACCTAGTGTTTACTAATATGCCCTAGTGTTTACTAATATGCCCTAGTGTTTACTAATATGCCCTAGTGTTTACTAATATGCCCTAGTGTTTACTAATATGCCCTAGTGTTTTACTAATAAACCTAGTGTTTACTAATATGCCCTAGTGTTTACTAATATGACCTAGTGTTTACTAATATGCCCTAGTGTTTACTAATATGACCTAGTGTTTACTAATATGCCCTAGTGTTTACTAATATGACCTAGTGTTTACTAATATAACCTAGTGTTTACTAATATGCCCTAGTGTTTACTAATATAACCTAGTGTTTACTAATATGCCCTAGTGTTTACTAATATGACCTAGTGTTTACTAATATGACCTAGTGTTTACTAATATGCCCTAGTGTTTACTAATATGACCTAGTGTTTCTAATTATAACCTAGTGTTTTACTAATATGACCTAGTGTTTACTAATATGACCTAGTGTTTACTAATATGACCTAGTGTTAACTAATATGACCTAGTGTTTACTAATATGCCCTAGTGTTTACTAATATAACCTAGTGTTTACTAATATGCCCTAGTGTTTACTAATATGCCCTAGTGTTTACTAATATGCCCTAGTGTTTACTAATATGCTCTAGTGTTTACTAATATGCCTATGTTTACTAATAAACCTAGTGTTTACTAATAATAACCTAGTGTTTTACTAATATGCTCTAGTGTTTACTAATATAACCTAGTGTTTACTAATATGCCCTAGTGTTTACTAATATGCCCTAGTGTTTACTAATATGCCCTAGTGTTTACTAATATGCCCTAGTGTTTACTAATATGCCCTAGTGTTTACTAATATAACCTAGTGTTTACTAATATGCCCTAGTGTTTACTAATATGACCTAGTGTTTACTAATATGACCTAGTGTTTACTAATATGCACCTAGTGTTTACCTAATATGCCCTAGTGTTTACTAATATAACTAGTGTTTACTAATATGCCCTAGTGTTTACTAATATGCCCTAGTGTTTACTAATATGCCCTGTGTTTACTAATATGCCCTAGTGTTTACTAATATAACCTAGGTGTTTACTAATATGCCCTAGTGTTTACTAATATGACCTAGTGTTTACTAATATGCCCTAGTGTTTACTAATATGACCTAGTGTTTACTAATATGCCCTAGTGTTTACTAATATGACCTAGTGTTTACTAATATAACCTAGTGTTTACTATATGCCCTAGTGTTTACTAATATGACCTAGTGTTTACTAATATGCCTAGTGTTTTACTAATATGACCTAGTGTTTACTAATATGACCTAGTGTTTACTAATATGCCCTAGTGTTTACTAATATGACCTAGTGTTACTAATATAACCTAGTGTTTACTAATATCCTAGTGTTTACTAATATGCCCTAGTGTTACTAATATGCCCTAGTGTTTACTAATATGACCTAGTGTTTACTAATATGCCCTAGTGTTTACTAATATAACCTAGTGTTTACTAATATGCCCTAGTGTTTACTAATATGCCCTAGTGTTTACTAATATGACCTAGTGTTTACTAATATAACCTAGTGTTTACTAATATGACCTAGTGTTTACTAATATGACCTAGTGTTTACTAATATGACCTAGTGTTTACTAATATAACCTAGTGTTTACTAATATAACCTAGTGTTTACTAATATGACCTAGTGTTTACTAATATGACCTAGTGTTTACTAATATGACCTAGTGTTTACTAATATGACCTAGTGTTTACTAATATAACCTAGTGTTTACTAATATAACCTTGTGTTTACTAATATAACCTAGTGTTTACTAATATGACCTAGTGTTTACTAATATGACCTAGTGTTTACTAATATGCCCTAGTGTTTACTAATATGCCCTAGTGTTTACTAATATGACCTAGTGTTTACTAATATGACCTAGTGTTTACTAATATGCCCTAGTGTTTACTAATATGCCCTAGTGTTTACTAATATGCCCTAGTGTTTACTAATATGACCTAGTGTTTACTAATATGACCTAGTGTTTACTAATATGCCCTAGTGTTTACTAATATGCCCTAGTGTTTACTAATATGACCTAGTGTTTACTAATATGACCTAGTGTTTACTAATATGCCCGAGTGTTTACTAATATGACCTAGTGTTTACTAATATGACCTAGTGTTTACTAATATGACCTGGCTGTAGAACAGGATTAAGAGAGAATAATCACAAAGTTCGTACTCTATCCGTGGGAACTTGTGGAAAACGTCAGAGGGCAGTGATGGTGTGGGAAGAGCCTGACTAGTTAAATAAAAAAAAACAGGAAACAATTTAGAGAGTGGCTTTATCATTAGAGAGAGGAAATGACTTTCCTGCCGCAGTGGGTGGTAGTCCTGGTACACAAGAGTGCGGAGAAAACGTTTACAGTCTTTCAAAGAAACTCAATTCCCTCAGCTGTTTCTTCTTCTAGCTAATTTCTCCTCGTTTTAATCCTCGGAATCGTGAGGGATTTTTTATTCTGCACTACCAAAAACTGATAAAGATTTACCAGTGAAAGAGATTTACAAGAGAAGGAGATTTACAAGTGAAGGAGAATTACTACGGGTGAAGGATATTTACAAGTGAGGGAGATTTACCAGTAAATCCGCACTAATACCGAGTAGGCTAAATCTTCAATAGGTTGAATTATGAGCGTTTTTTACATTTATGGGAAGAAATTATGTACTAGGGACCGAACCGGCGTCCTTGCGCTTGCAAGGTCACTGTCCCACTTAGCATTGGTGTGTGTGCGCTGCAGCAGCTCTCAAGAGTGAAGCTTTCAGATACACGGTGTAATGGTACTGCAGAGAGCTGACTGAAGTATTGCTGTGTATAGCTCTGCGCTGCGTTCACGAGTTTCGCGGTGTTTTGAGTTTTCGCAGTGGTGAATGCGTGTTGTTGGAAGAACCAGCTGCTGCAGGTGTGGTGGTGGTGATACCCACTGCCGTTACAGGTAAAGTGGTGGTACCCAGTGCTGTTGCAGGTGTGGTAGTGGTGGTACCCACTGCTGTTACAGGTGTAGTGGTGGTACCCACTGCTGTTGATACCTGCATAAAGAGGAATAATATAATTATTAAGTTGTCTACTACTACTACTACTCTCTCTCTCTCCACAGCAGCAGTGCTGTGTTGGTCCATACAGCAACAACATGGTGAATCAGAGAGTAGTGAGCATCAATCGGTCATCATCGCTTTAACACATCACAGTATAGATATTATCACATGAAATAAAAATATTTGAGCACGGCAGTATAAGGACGGAGAGAGACAGACAGAGGTAGTTATAGAGGGAGGCAGGTTATATATGAATGAATGAACGTGTATAACTAAATAATTATATATATATATATATATATATATATATATATATATATATATATATATATATATATATATATATATATATATATATATATATATATATATATATATATTATATATATATATATATATATATATATATTATATATATATATGTATATATATATATATAAAATATATATTATATATATATATATATATATATATATATATATATATATATATATACAGGATTGATATGTAATAGAGTATGCATTCAGGATTATCATATTATATGAGTATGATAGGCATATATATTCTAATATATCACATACGTTACTCATCTATTATTTATGTACATAACACATATACACCATAACAGGAGATAGGTGGTACACACAGTGCCATCACAGTACCACTCAGCCACACAGTAGACACATACACACTTCTCAGAAGCAGAGCAGGACCTAGTTATCAGTGAATTAGGGGCAACATCTCGACCCTCAACACACAATAGGGACACACACACACACACACACACACACACACACACACACACACACACACACACTTCACTTTAATCCCCGGTATTGAAGCCACGCATATATCATGGATACATTAAAATTATCTCATGTATATTTAGACAAGGGTAACCCAATAAAGTCAAATATTCACCTATGATCAGGAGTAACATTCTCCATTTATTTCATGGAACACAATGTGTTTAATAAAATAAAAGCGAAGCTTCCTTTGGGGATAAACATCAGCAGTAAAAGCTTCAAGCTGACCAGAAGCTTTATCCTTCAAATATTGCACAGGACACAGCAATTTTAAGCTTATTAAACTAGGTTAGAAAATTAAGAAATTTGCATCTTCGAAGCCTCAACCCAAAAAAAAAAAATTCATCAATTTAAAAAAAAAAAATCAGCCAATAAAAGATGGCAGTCGTTCATAAGAAGCATACTTACTCCAGATGTTTAATGGAAACTATAACTAAACCTTTTCCAGATTAAAATTATCCCAGTAGCACCTACACACGTGGGTGACAACGTCGACATCTTCCTGGTAGGATACACCAGCGTGTGACGCCCACCACACGAGGCTTGCTGAGGTAATCACATGGAAACCATAATCTGGAATGGCCCATATATAATTTAGCAGAGAGGCGGCTGCACATAACATGTGTTGCATGAACCTTTTCCTAGTTATAGTTCATCATGATGGGAAATTTGAAGCCTGTCAGACAAGATGTTCAAAAGTTAAAAGCGAATACCTTTGGCGGAAGTTTATGGAATGCAAAGAAACAGTTCTTACA